CCCATTCATAAAACACCGTGTCTGTCTAGTTATTAATTACGCCCGTAAAATAAACAACATTTCTCACACCCCTTGCAACATTTTATGAGTACTTTGTGGTCTCTTCCGCCTTAACGGAGCACACGCATTCCACCCTGCAATTGAGACACATCGCAAAACCTGTTGGCACACGTCTTGGCAGGTCGATATTAAATACACTGATAAAGTATTCTGCTTCATCACTAAGGATAATGTTTTCTTTATGTAGGTGCATTGATTCTTAACTAGAATAAGTGTAAACTTTTTGAAATATTTCAGGCACATCAAGATGTCAGCTTTTAAAATGAGCTTCTTGCTGGCTGCCAGAAAAAACTGCATCTTGTAAAAGGTGACTACTTAAGTACTACGCACTTTTTCATTGATCATCGATGCCCTCCAAAGTAAAATGTATTTTTCAAAACGTAAGCGAAAAAAATTGCATTGTACCCATTGGGTAACAGACCAGGTCTTTTTCAGATTGCATACTTGAACAAAATGTACTTTTTTGGTTTTAAAAACGTTCACAAGGACGATACTTTAATAACAGTTAAATATTTATCCATAAAACACCGTATCTGTCCAGCTATTAATTATACTTATAAAATAAACAATATTGCTCACACCCACTGCAACATTTTTTGAGTGTTTTTCTCACTACCGGGACGCACCCATTCCGCCCCGCAAGTTAGACACATCATAAAATCCGTTGCCACACGGCTTAGCGATTCCAGATTAAATGCACTGATAAAGTATTCTGTTTTATCACTCAGGACAATGCTTTCCTTGTGTAGGTGCATTAATTTTTAATTTAACCAAAAATAGTACAGACTTTCTAAAATACTTCAGTCAAATCAAGATGCCGGCTTTTAAAAGAAGCTTCTTCCTCGTTGCAACATGCATAACTTCGTAAAATTTGATCACTTCTCGCATACCGGCGTGAACGCATTTACGAAAACTTAGAAATAATTATGAACAACATTATGCAAATTTAAAACTTAAAAAGATATAAGAAGTACTAAGTATTTGTTAAGAAAAATAAATTTTCCCGATAATCCTCAAGTTTTGGAGATGTAAAAATTACTATAAGTTACAACAATAAATTTGAATATTTTCCTAAGTTGAAAACTAAACGTAACTACTTTTTTATATAAAAGGAACTTTTCTTTGGTCAAAATTTTTACCCATTACAATTAATGGAAAATTATTAATTTAATATCATCCTTTAAATTCTAGCATAATTTCCAGCGTTTTCAGTGTCTTCATGTGTTCATCCATTAATTGATATTCCATCCGACGTTCACATCAGAAAAATGCACCTTATAAAAATAAAACACTTAAGTACTATGCATTTTTTCATCGATCATAGACGCCCTTCAAAGTTAAATGTATATTTTAAAAAATGCACGAAAATAATCTGATTGTAATCCTTGGGTAACAGATAACGCCTACGTTAAATTTTATATCTGAATAAATTGTACTTCGTGGTTTTAAAAAAGTTTAAAATTATGATATTTTTAAGACTGTGAAATATTCATTCATAAAACACCATACCTGTCCAGTTATTAACGATGTTTATAAAATAAGC